TTTTATAAGTTTGTTTTAATATTACCAAACTGGCCTCCGAGAAATTTCAATCGAACATTTACCAAATTGATACCCATTGTAAAAGGTCATTTCTTATATACTTATATTTATTTATAGTCGGTCTAAAATCTTTCTTAACAACCAGTTCTATTTTGAAGATTAAATTTCAATTAATATAAAAAATTATAAAGATTTTAAGGGATTGATGCGTTATACATAAAAAGAATGCTTGACCGCTGGTCAATGGTGGGTCAACTTCGACAATTAATGATTGAAACAATAATAATTTAAATTCTAGATTTATCAATCAACAATCTTTACCTTGAATAAAAATTTTGCCATACCAATATCCTTAGTAGATATAATATTCGTGGAAAACTTATTACATAAGTAACACCTGTGTCTAAATTCGTGGTATGCAACACCACATCGTATCACGAATGCGGTTTTCGACATGTTGTTATTAACCCGTATTATACTAAACCCACTAGTAAATATTCCAATGTAAGGTTTTATTTCTCTCGGCTTCGACAAAAATCTTACTCAATTCTGAACGTAGGCTACATAATCATCAAAATATGCAATGACACGCTGCTTTCCTTTTGTTTACGTTCGCAAACTAAGTGAAGTAAAGTAAAATCATTTGTATACATTCCAATGGTTTACTATCCAAAGTGTCCCACTTCACATGCATACCATATAACAGACACTACCAATGATTGAAAATGAAGACGCTAGCTCAAGATGCTTAGGTGCAGCGATTCGGGTCTAGAAAGAAGGGAACCGAGTGATTTTCGACTCTGAGAAGCAACTCGAACATGTTTTCCATTTGAAAAAACAATAAACAATAAGATAAATATATTGTAAATTACTTAATCTTACCAGATTTTTCCAAAATATTATTGGATTGGGGTAGAGCACTGGCAAGTTTTAAGGATCCAGTCCATAACATGACAACTGCCATCAACAGATTAGCATTAAACATCATATTGGCTCGATTATTGAGCTTTTTGGATGGCTGTGATTTAAGTGGGTCTATATAGAAGATCAGTGAAAACGTGGGTTGATATATTTTATTGAACGGAAAGAGAAAACATGCTATTTAATATTTTTAAATGGATTGTGTCCTGGTATATTGACTGTTGAATATTTATATCACGCTGTAAA